GTCACCCACCTTTATGAAGCAAGTATTCCAAGCCCGTCTTTATCCAGGAAAAGCCTCTTCCAGGAACACGGCTGCCTCTGGGAGCGTCCAACCCCTGCCCCCAGCATGCAAGCAGCAGGGCGCCCCCACCTCCCCTCCGCTCCGTTTGTCTGCGAGCCGAGCCGAGTCCTGCCCGCTTCTGGCCGAGGCCCCTGGGGCCCCGGGAGGAGCCTGCGTTCACACCACATCTGTGGTGACCACTGCGGGCTGTCCGGACAGCCTGGCCAGGCCTCTGTCTGTCTCCCGCCCGTGTCTGTCTGTCTCTCCCTCTCACTCCCTGTCCCTCTCCCTGTAAGTCCTACCACACACATAAGCATTTAGCACGTTATGGACAGTAATGACCTCCTGCTGCTTTTGTGAAAACAGAAAAGCTTCAAGTTGAAACTTGGGGAATTTAGATGAAAGAGCAACTTCCTCACGACCCTTAGAATTTCAGAAAAAGAGGCTGCGGAATTTCATTCCCAGGTGTCTCCCGAAAGGAGAGCGCGCGCGTGGGTCTGAGGGTTCGTGTGGCCCGTCTGAGGACCGAGGACTGGCGTGTGGGAACCCTGGTCCCCGGGGCAGCGCGGCCATCCTGCGTTAGGGCCACGGCCGCAGGGACGTCGTGCCCGTCAGCAGGGCTGGGTCCTCCTGGGGGAGCCGTCCTGAGCACGCCCCACCGGTCACCCCTGAGGAGCGAACTGTCCCCTGCAGCTGTTTCTTCACACAGGTGAAGTGCTACCACAAGAAGTACCGCTCGGCCACACGCGACGTCATTTTCCGCCTGCAGTTTCACACGGGGGCCGTCCAGGGCTACGGGCTAGTGTTTGGGAAGGAAGATTTGGACAGCGCCAGCAAAGGTGAGGTCTCGCTGGGCCCGGCGGTGGCGNAAGGTGACCGTAGTGATATTCAGCAATGAGGCATGGAGCACTTTTTCTAGGATGAGTTTGCAAACTTAATTGTCCAACCTCGTACAGAGAGTCAGACTGTCAACTTGACGGAGTTGGGAAAACAACTTGGGAGAGTGGAGCTGCTATTGTCCCTGCTTTGACTTGGGGGCTCGTGGTGGCACGGTTACTGGTGAGGAAAAGATGACACCGGCCGCTGTCTGACCGGCCCCTCCCCATGGGCCCCCACTGCTCACGGGACGCCTGGCTCTGGGAGCTCTGGCTGGAGGTCAGAGTCCCGAGCCCCGCCCAGGAAGGACAGCCTCAGGTGCTGGGAGCCCAGGCCTCATCGTTATGTAACCGGACCAGGAATGTGTGTGGGCAGGAGCCTGGCTGGGATCCAGGCTGGGCAGACACGCCCGTCCACGTGCCTGGTCTTGCTGCCTTTGCTCTGCAGACCCTGTGGCCACTGAGATTTGTGTTTGTGGCTCAGGGCTGTGGCCCCGACTCCTGAACAGAGGGGCCGCGTCCTCAAAGAGCCTTCACAGAGAGAGTGCCCCTGTGGTCGGTTCTCACCCCGTGCTCATGCAAGGTCGGGGGACGGCAGCGGCCTCATGGTGCCCTCCACACTCTGCTGTACTGGGATCCCCCCGGCTCCCCCCACCTCCCCGTGGTGTTTGCTGTGCTTCTGTGTGTGCGTCTGCCCCCTTACTGTCCCATGAGTCTCCCTGACCTGGCTGGGTGCCAGTCCCCGCTGTGGCCTTAGCACAGGGGACTTCATGTGCTGTCGCGGACAGCCAGTGGCGGCTGAGCCTTCGTGGGTTTGGAATGTGCTTCAGCGCCAGCACCCTCTGGAGCCATTTCCAGCTCCGGTGCCATCATGGCTACTGTTGGCCTGGGTGAGGCGGCACCCTGACGGCCCGGGCTCGCCAGCTCTCTAGGCCTCCGAGTGTGTGGAGGGGGCGCTTGCTCTGAAGAGGGCCACCTCGACAGCCACTGGGCCACCAGCAACGTCGCTGGAAATGGGCGACTCCCTTCTCCAGTCGGGGGTGCGTAGAGGGTCCTGCATTTCTTGTGATCTGTGTTACCCACAGAGAAGCTTAGATGATTTGGGAGAAGGTGAGTCTGAATAGGAGCTGCCCCTGACCAGGCCGAGGGCAGGGAGCAGGAACTGGTGACACTTGAGGGCCTACCTTGACCCGTTGACCCTGGCCGGTGCTC